CAATTTATTCAAAAAGTAATCGCTAGAAATGGGACCGAAACGCGTTTTTTAAAATATGCGTATGAGAAAACGTAACTTTTACATATCCAACACAGAAGTTTAATTACGATTTTATTCCCAAAACGCTTATTTTAAAGCTGTAACGTGTACAAGTACCTAATGTTGCCTTTCCAGGAAATCTTGTAGAGAAATAGACTGTAGTGGAACAATCAAATTCAGCTTATTCGTTAAATTTTGCTTAAAACCATTTTAATCGTACATTAAACACGTCTTAATCTTCGAATTAACGATTTCTTATCGGTAATATGACTGAAAACATTACCCTACATTGTAAGAACAAAAAGAAAAATCGATGCGTTCAACTCTGACAAGAATTATTAAAGGTTTCCCGAAAGAAATTTAATTATTGAAATTTATAGCGTGCTGGAACCTCATAAACTTTTAAAGTCGAAGAGGATGGTCTTACTAATTTATTGCCTCTTGAAAATAGACATTCCTTCTTATCTATTATACAACCAGCGTTACTGCATTTTACGTTAAAATAAGGTAATAGTAAATTGTAAAGCAGAAATTCTTGAGATTCTCCTAGATCTGATTTTCTTAAGGAGCATGGAATTCTAATGAAAACTTCTTATCGATATTAGAGTGACTCATTTTAACAATCAAAAAGGCATAAAAAGTCATCCATAATTCAATGGCGTTATAGTTCATGAAATAGTAAAAGCTTATAGGGCATGTTTCTACAAATGGTTGAAAAATGTATATACCTTTAACTTCTACTTATTTGAGTTATATTCAGGTACATATATCGTCGAAAATTGTAACTAAATAACGAATCCGTGCGAATCCGGCTCGAAGGGCCAAAAAGATAACTTCAAAGAAGTTGTAATATACCTGTCACGCAATTCAATTAACACTTCATTAATCAGATACCGATTTAAACATGTTAAACGTTACATTCGCATTTTGTGGGACATATTGTAGGTGCACGAGCGTGTAATGGTTCAACATTCAATTTTAAACTGATATGAAATCTCGGTCTTCGCCGAATGTAATTTTTATGCTAATGGCATCCACTTGCATCTCTAGGTACATCAAAGAGGAGCTCATTTATGCACAAAGGAAACAAGTAGCAGACTCTAATGTACGGTTCACTTTGTAAAAGAATACTACGTACCTCGATCTTATACATAGACTATTGCTTTTAGTCGTTTTTTACATTATTTATGCATTTATGTGCAGAACGGATAAAGCCTAATATATCAACGTATATGAGGTCAGGTCCAAATAAAGAAGAAAAACTCAAACAAGTGCGATTTGTTTTTTAAAACACAGCCCTATCTTACAGTACTATTAAGGGATGCCATGTTACCCCTATATATATATGTCGAAGATGCACCACG